GCACACAATACCATTTTTGATAATAAAAAAAAAAAACAATCTTAGCTAAAAAATAAATTATAGTGTTGATTTCTAACGATAAGCGCTTACCGGATAAGTATTTAAGTAAACCACCCCTAACAATTAAGACAAACTAAATGAATCAGACCTTTGTTTCTGTTCTTGAGTTGAATGGCATATTTTTTCTTTGTTGTTTAAAATACGATGTAGTAAATATTTAAACATCTCTTTATCGTAATCACTTGTAAATACTGAATAAAATCTAAATTTAACTCGTGTTTTTTTTAAATACCAATTAAGTGAAAAAAAAACCATATGTTATAATTTTTTTTTTGAAAATAATTCTAAAATATGTAATAGTATAAGTAATTGATTAAAAATATCACAAACTTTACGGTTACTTAAAAAATAATGGAAAATGAAAATATCAACACCAGGAAATCAGCTTTAATTAATAGGTAACATTTATAAGTTATTGGATAAATAATGTATTAGATATCATTTTTAAGTTACCCAATCAAAATTGGAGTAGACAGCTAACATTTTATAAAATGTATTTTTTTTTTAGTCAAATATGCATATAGAGGGATCGGCTTCTAATTAGTCAAAATATCTTAGGATCGGTTTGGATTGACGGAATGTTTTTTAGAACTTGGATTTTGTGAAATGATCTGGAATTAGAAAAAGTGAATATTTGGCTTATAAGATTTAAAGTGGAATTGAATTTCATTCTTTATAAATAATTTATAAAAACAAATTATAAAAAAAATTAATTTTTTTATTAAGTGGTCGTTACAAACACAAGCGTTTTTACCTATTTTAAAATATAACTACAAACAAATATTACAAAATCCTATGAAATACCAGCTACCTTCATGGGGTTTTTGAATTCCATGTTTGTGGAATGTCATTAACGGGGATTTCAATTTCAAACTTTCCTTTAAATCAAACCAAGATTTTCTCACCAAATACTATAAGATTCCGCAAATCAAACAGCATAGGGTGCTTATTGACTTTCGAAATAGTTCACAAAAACTATTGTATTCATAAAAAATATATTTCTTAAGTATTAAAATAGACATTTAGGGTATTTTGTTTAGCAACTTAACAAGCTTAATAAGATTCACAACTTATTCGATGAACTACACCGACTCTTCAGGAGTGACTTAAAGATATACAAGTGACTCATTCAACCAACTTTTAGAGGAGTTTTAAGCAGAAAGTCAAGTTTCTTCCAAGTCTATCCCCTCAAAATTAAAGAACACGTTCCCTTTATCTATAAAAACTCTTCTAAACAAAAACTTTCACAATTTATAAAACGAATTGTAATTTAATTTAAAACCATTTAAACCGCATATTACTTGATCTTGGATGTTTTGATTTATAAATAAAAAATGGAAGGGTAAAATGTACGAAATAGCAACTTATATTTATAAAATTTATTTATTATAGTATTGTACTTTCAATTTTTCTTATTACAAAAATGTACTTTTAAAATATTTTATATTAGGTCATCGTAATTTCAAACATTTATCCGTTATAGCATAGGGTAACCTTTTAAATTAACTATGTCCATTATACCAAATTTGTTTGCCACCTCATTGTCTACGTATGATGTCCATGTGTACGATGGTGTTGACATCACATTTCTTATTATAACATTTTATTTTCAAAATTACTTTATTATAAATCACCAATTTCTATTACAATACAATATTGTACTTTCAATTTTTATATTTTTATCATTTAAACATTGTAAATTTAATCAAATACGTTTACTGAAAATTATAATATCAAAAATTAAACATGTTCACAAAAAGATCACTATTTCACGAATAAAAATATTCATAAAAAAGTGATGTCTGAATTGTACACATGTTTAATTTATGATATTATAATTTTTATAAATACTTTTATTCGTGAAATAGTGATCTTTTATAAACATGTTTAATTTCGGATATTATAATTTTTAGTAAACGTATTTGATTAAATTTACAATGTTTAAATGATAAAAATATTAAAATTAAAAGTACAATACTGTAATAGAAATTGATGATGTTATAATAAAGTAATTTAGAAATAAAAAAAATGTCATGTCAACACTATCTTACATGTGGACAACCTACGCAGATAATGAGTTGACAAAGAAACATGTTATAATGGATAAATTTAATTTAAAAGGTTATCCAATATAACAGATAATTTTTGAAAGTACGATGTTCTAATAAAAAATATTTTAAACATACATTACTATAATAATAAAAACTGAAAATATAATATTATAATAAAAAATTTATAAAAATAGATTATTATTTCAACGTAGAGATAGCTAAAATCCAGTCCCGGGCCGGTCCTTAACCGGTTCCTACTGGTCCTAATCAAGACAAAAACCGGCGGTAACCGGTCTTGCCATAACCGGTCCCGGTGAAATACCTTGTAACCGGTCAAGCTTACCGGTAACCGGTTAAGGAATCCGGTCCCGGTTCCGGTTCCATAACCGGTCCCGGCCAAATTTTTTTTTTTTTTAAATTTTTGTTTATTAATAAATTTTTAATATGTTCTTAATATGTTTGTAATATGTTATTTTTAATATGTTTTATATAAATACGTTTAAAAATATGTTTTCTTATATATATATGTATATATATACGTTTAATTTTATAAATACGTCTTGTTATATATATATACACGTTGACTTTTGTTGACCGGGCCGGGCCGGTCCTATAACCGGTTCCGGTCTTAACCGGTCTCGGTCCTAGAAAACGTTAAAATCCATAACCGGCGGTCCACAACCGGTCCATACCAGTCCCTCTCCGATCCCGGTTCCGATCATTCGACGGTTACGAGCCGGGCCGGACCCATTTAACCATCTCTATTTCAATGTAATCAAAAGTAAACGGGTTTTTCCAAAATATTTAGTTGGTCGATTTTCTTCTAAATTTGGTTTTTATTTTGGGAAAAGTCTAAAAAAACTCAATGGACTTTAGTGTTTGGAATGATTAAGTCCTTGGACAATTTTTTCGAACAAATAAATCCTTGGACATTCCAAAACATATTAAATAACTCATTGGACTTTCTAAAACATGTTAGATACATCCTTATTACCCATACAACTGGTTAATGTGATAAAATAATGAAAAAAATCCGAAAAAAATAATGAACATTCATATTTTGAACAAAGTCCCTAAACATTTTTTGAACAAAAAAATATTTAGATTTATAAAATCAAACAAATATAATAAAAAAATACTTACATTTACAAAAAAAAATTACATATAAAAAAGATTTTTGATAAAATTTATTTTAATTAAAATTAATATATTGTCAGTGATTTTTCAAACTAAAAAAAATTAATTACTGATTAAATTTATTTTANATTAAACAAATTACAAAAAAAAACGAGAACTTTTAAATAATTAATTTAAGGGAAAAGTCTAAAAAAACCCAATGGACTTTAGTGTTTGGAATGATTAAGTCCTTGGACAATTTTTTGGAACAAATAAATCATTGGACATTCCAAAACATATTAAATAACTTCTTGGACTTTCTAAAACCTGTTACATACATTCTTATTACCTATACAACTGGTTAATGTGATAAAATAATGAAAAAATCCGAAAAAAATAATGAACATTCATATTTTGAACAATTAAGTCCCTAAGCATTTTTTGAACAAAAAAATATTTAGATTTATAAAATCAAACAGATATAATAAAAAATACTTACATTTACAAAAAAAATTACATTTAAAAAAGATTTTTGATAAAATTTATTTTAATTAAAATTAATATTTTGTCAGTGATTTTTCAAACTAAAAAAAATAATTATTGATTAAATTTATTTTAATTAAAAATAAAATATATCACGTATGTGATTTTTCAAATTAAAAAAGAGATTTAAAAAGATTACTGGTAAAATTTATTTTATTTTTTGTTAAAAATAAAATATATTTTTATTTTTAAACACTAGGGAGATTCGTGCTCCTCCCCGAGAAGCACTCTCTGTTATGTTCTCTCTCTCATTAAAACAAATTTCATCAGTAATCATTTTAAACTTTTTTTTAATTTGAAAAAATCATATATGAAATATATTTTATTTTTAATTAAAAATGAATATAACCAGTAATCCTTTTTAAATCTCTTTTTATTTTTTTTTAATTTGGAAAATCACTGACATAATATCTTTTATTTTTAATTAAAATAAATTTTATCAATAATTTTTTTAAATGTAAGTATTTTTTGGTATATTTGTTTTATTTTATATAATGTAAGTACTTTTTTGGTTCAAAAATGTTTAAGGACTTTATCGCTCAAAATATGAATGTTCAATGATTTTTTTTTTCATTCTTTTTCCGTTATTTTACTACGTTAATTAGTTTTATAGGTCATAAGAATGTATATAACATGTTTTAGAAAGTCTAAGAAGTTGTGTAACAGGTTTTGGAACGTTTAAGGACTTATTTGTTCTAAAAAATTGTCCAAGGACTTAATCATTCAAAACACTAAAATTCATTGGTTTTTTTAGACTTTTCTCTTAGTTTTATAGGTCATAAGAATGTATATAACATGTTTTAAAAAGTCCAAGAAGTTGTTTAACATGTTTTAAAATGTCCAATAACTTATTTGTTCCAAAAAATTGTCCAAAAACTTAATCATTCCAAATAATAAAATCCATTGAATTTTTTTAGACTTTTCCCTTTTATTTTTGCAATTAATTGACACGTGTTCATCTTCTAAAAAGAAGATAGCAGAAAGAAGGGGGACATTTTCGTCATTTGATCGCTTCAAAATTCGCGGGCCAACTGTAAGCGTCTGCTCAAGTATAGCTAGCCTAATGAGCTCGCCAAGAAACCGTTTTCCCAACCTTGAACGATTGAATTCTCTGCAACAAATTCAAACGATCTCGAAGAAAAAATCGATTGATAGTTAGTCATCTAGCGATTTGTTGAATGATTCGATCATGCAAACAATTAATCGATTTTAGGGTAGGGAGAGATCTCAATGGCAGCATCAGATGGAAGTGAGTACTTCGATGTGGACACTGAAAGCGGCCATGATACATTTTCACGGCAGTCGAATGCGGAGGAGTTTCGACGAGACGAGACGGAGCTTCTATGGGCGGCGATAGAGAGGTTGCCATCAAGAAAGGAGAAGAAATTCGCGTTACTGAAACGTCCAGCCTCCGAATCAAATGGTTCTGAGGAGAAAACGGAGACTGTAGACGTTACGAAACTTGATCGTCGTAATCGTTCACTCATTGTTAGAAAAGCTCTCGCTACGTCTGAACAGGATAATTATAAACTGCTTGCGGCCATCAAAGAACGATTCGACCGGTATTAGCATTACTTGTTGTTAGGTTTTAAGTTTCATTCGTGTTTACCTTTCGATCTTCTATAGAAGCGTTGATGAGTTGTACTTTCGTTCTCTTTTTATCAATTTTTGTGTTGTATGTGGAAAAAGAGTTGGATTGGAGGTTCCAAAGGTTGAGGTTAGGTTTGAGAAGCTGAACGTTGCGGCGGATGTATTAATTGGTTCTAGAGCTTTGCCGACTTTAGTTAATTATACTCGTGACGTGATTGAGGTCAGTGTGTTTTTTGCTTCTTCCGTTTATTTATTTCTTTTTTGGTTATGTGTTTTGTTTAAGAAAGCAAGGTAAACAAATAAATTCGAGCATCTCAACGGGAGGTTCTTATAAGGAAAAAATGTAGTTATAATCACTACCATTTGAATAGGTTCTTCAGATAAGTCGCCCACATTTTTGAGCTCTTGTACAAGAATCTTGTTTCTTTGTTTGAACTTTGTGTTAAGTGACATTTTAGTAGCTTATATATATATATATATATATATATATATATATATATATATATATTTGACTTTTATATCCATAATTATAGGTGTTTAAAAAATATATGGAACTCATAAAAGGAGTTCCTACAAGTAACTATCTTTTTGGAGGATTATGGGTCGTTAATTTGTTGAGTGGACAATGATCCGACAAGAAAAAGTACAAAAAATGAGTTCTTATTAGTCACTCCATTAGAGATGCTCTTACAAACAAAGTAGTGACCATGTGGGCAAATCATTTAAAGCCAGTACATGAACTATTCAGTCAAGATTGATATAGATTTCATGATAAATCTTCATAGGGATGTTCTTTTTGTAAGTTCAGATGGATAACTATAAACAGTCTGCATTCATTGCATTGTTATTGTTTGGAATGGATGAAGTTAAAAATAGGCGGCTTGCTAATTTTTGTATTTTACTGATACTTGATTACAGCGTCTCTTAACCTGTTTGAGGATTTTCCGCCCACAAAGACATCATTTGTCTATCTTGAAGGATATTAGCGGTTCAATAAAACCGGGAAGGTACTCGTATGTATGTATATATATATATTTCACAACATGTGGTCGTGTTGGATGTATTATTTTCCAGGATTGGCTAGAGAATCTGCTATATATGTATTATCTTTTTTCTACATGATAACTTCTAAGGGTAAAGTAGAATTTCATCATTTTGCTTCCGTAGTAGATTTTCTGTTGCATAGATTGTTTCTCGTCATTTAGACACATACATAAAGCATTCACAAGACTTACCATATTTTATTTAATATGGAGAAGATAATTCTTCATGAATGGGTGGCGATCGAATCAAACTCAGGACCTGAAATTCTGAGAGAGGATTATCCACTTAACTATCACTTTGGATTTACTTATTAAGAGAAATGCGTCTAAGTATGAATGTATGATTGCAAACTATTCCCACATCTTTCTTATCCTTGGAAACTTGCTATGCATGAATCGTTTAAGAAACTGGTGGTGTTCCAAGTGTTCTGAAAACAGGAAAAAGAGTTGATTAGAAAAAACGATATTTTGCTCAACATCTATTACAGTTGTATTACATTAAAGTTATTGACTATTGTTGTGATGATTAAAGTTTAGAAGCTAAATTTGTAGCACAAAACGGTTTTCGAATAGAGGAAAGTAGAAAAGGGAGGGTTAAAATTTTACCAATGATTGAGCAATTTGTACATTTTTAGCTAAATTTGTAGCAATTTTTGAAGCAAGTTCGATTTCTTTTATAGTTTCTCCCTTAAATTTAGAGATGCATTGTGTTATCAAAAGTTCAATTGTCATACCTGAGGCGTTCAAGTTGATGTGAATTCATTTTAATATTCCATTACATTACCTTACTCTAGGATATTGGTTGGTGACTGAACAAAAGAAAAGGATCATTTGAACCTATTCCTGTTTGACTTATGGACAGGATGACATTGCTTTTGGGGCCACCTGGTTCAGGGAAATCTACATTGCTCTTAGCTCTTGCAGGGAAACTTGATACTAAATTGAAGGTATCTATGCACAATTCTTCTTTTTTCTAAAAACATTTTCTGCTTCCTGCATAATTGCATGAGTGGGTGAGTAGGTTCACTGCTCTCACAGGTCTGGCCACTGATTATGTGACACTTGTGATATAGAGTCTTAGAAGTGTAGAACTTTTTGAGTTTTTCTGAATACTTGTCAGCAACAAAACATAGTAACACCATTACCAAACAGCCTGGATTTGCGAGTGCATATTGCTGATTTACATTGATGAGGTGGGAGGATTTTTGCCACCCATGTTTTTGAGTTTTTCTACAAGTTTGAAGCTTTTAGTTTTCCTTCCTGCCTATATCAGTTGCAAACCAGCACAGGTATACTTACCAGAGCCACTTATATCATGTGAATTGGTCTACTATCCAGTATTTACAATCTATGAAACATAAAGAAATATGCTTTTGGTGAATATTGAATCACTTATTATACGAAAATGATTGAAGGTTTAAATTGGTAAATACTCTTATTTGTGTCAGTTTGAGCAATTTGGATCTTTGTGAATTGGCCATTGTGGCACTCTAATAGGAAGTGTACTGTATGATGAAACATTCTCTTTTCCTTAGTTAGAGTTTCTTATTATTCTCTAGGCTTCCTTTGATTGTGTTTCCTTATTTTAGGGTTTTCTTTTCTTTTATAAATACCTTTGATTGTGTTTCCTAGTTCTAGGGTTTTCTTTTCTTGTATAAATATCTTTGCTGTATTCTCTTTCAATATAGGAAAAATTCCTGCCCTCAATTTCTACATGGTATCAAAGCTATATCTCTAAAACCCTAAGGTGGTGTTTGGTTCGCATAATGTTTTTGGATGGAATAAAATCTGTTAAGGGAATTTGACTTTCGAGGAATTGGAATGGAATGTTGTCAGGTTTGACCACCTGTTTGGTTGGCAGCCATTGGAATGGAATTTGTGAAGGATTTGGAATCTGTCTGTTTGGTTCACAGAATGTAGCTTTGGCAATGAAATGAAATATTGGTAAATGACTAAAATGCCCTTTTTTGAAAATTCTATTTTTTTTAAAACTAAAAATACTTCAATAAAATAATTATTTAATATGTAAAACAATATAAAATACACAACCCAAATATAACCATAAGCTAAACGACGTTACCAAATCAATGGTGGTTCAAATCGGTGGTGGTCCACGGTGGTTTAGATGCGGTGGTTCGCAGTGGTTCAGATAGATGGTGGTCTGTGGTGGTTCAGATCGGTGGTTGTTCAAATCGTTGGTGGTCGGCGGTGTCCGACGGTGATTCAGATCGGTAGTAGTCGCCGGTGGTTGGCAGTGATTCAGATTGATGGTGGTCCGTGGTGCTTCAGGTAGTTCAGATCGGCGATGGTTTAGATCGGGGGTGATTCAGATCGGCTATGGATCAGATCGGTGGTTGTTTAGATTGTTGATGGTCGGCGGTGGTTCAGATCGGAGGTGGCTGACGATGATTCGGATCCGTAGTCGTTAGCGGTGGTTCAAATGGCGATGGTCGACAGTGGTTCAGATCGGTGGTGTCGACGGTGGTTCAGATCGACGGTGGCCAAAGGTGGTTGGCGATGGTCATATTGGGTTTTATGAGATTAAGGTATATTTGGTTAAAGGCATATTTGGTATTATGAAAATAGAGAATTTCATTCCATCAAAATACCATGTTTTTGCTATGAAATGTTAAATTCCTTTGTTTGTGGAATTTGTAGGATTTTGAAGATTCCTTTCGTGAAAAAGAATAAACCAAACGAGGGAATGAAATCTGGTCAATGAAATTCAACATTCCAATTCCATCAGATTTCTTTAAAATCTGCGAACCAAACGCTTCCTAAGTTTCTCCTTCCTGCTGCTGGTTTTTTTTGCTAGCCAATCATCTAACCACCAATGGGAACTTCTGACGACTTTGCTTCCTCAGATCCGATTCCTCCTCAAAATTCAATTACCACTCAAATTTTCTTGATAGTTCTCCACTCCCAATCACGTGTCACAAACTCAACGGACACAATTACGTTCAATGATCTCAATTTATTCTCATGTACATCTCAGGGAGAGGAAAAGATGACTACCTCACTGGTAAAGTCTTTTAACCCAAAGAATCAGACCTCTTTATCACCAATGGAAGTCTGAATACCATATGGTGATGTCTTGGCTGAAAAATTCCATGCTCTTCGAAAGGAGAAAGCTTTCTTCTATCTGACTGCCCAAGAAATATGGAGTGCAACCCATGATACCTACTCATGTTCTGAAAACACTACAGAACTTTTTGAAACAGAAGCCAAACTCTTTGAACTCAAGCAAGGAGACTCAGGTGTTACACAATCACAAGGTATTGGCAACATCTTGATATGTTTGAGGTATATTCTTGGAAGTGTCCTGATGATGCAACCCTCTACAAGAAATCATTGAGAAAAAGAGAACATTCAGATTTTTATTAGGGTTGAACAAAGAACTTGACCAAGTCAGAAGCAGAATCATGAGCCTCAAATCTCTCCCTCCAATCCAAGAAGTTTTTTCTGAAATCCAAAGGGAAGAAAGTTGGAAATGACTGATGATGCCAAACTCTTCACCATACTTGGATGGATCTGCCATGATAACTCATCGGCTTCTTCAAACAGGAGGATTCGAAAAGGGCAGACCATGGTGTTATCACCACCAAAGACCAGTTCATCTTCGAAACCTGTTGGAAAATCCATGGAAAACCTGTAGATTGGAAAGCAAGAAGTAGGAGTGATCATGGACGTCTCCACATGGCTGCAAACAATGAAGAAACATCAAAAGAGGTCAACCCTTTCACGAAGGATCAGATCAATGCACTCCAGAAACTCTTTGTAGCTTTCACAACAGCCAAACTCACTTTCAATCAATGTAAATGCCAGTCACCAAGGTACCTCTTTTCATGCATTCACTACAACCTTTAACACCACGGGTCCATGGATTGTGGATTTAGGGGCATCCAACCAAATGACATGTGATTTAAATGTCTTCCACATCTTCACACCATGTGATAATCCTCTCATGGTCATAATTGCAGACGGTTCCATCTCCAAAGTGACACGAACGGGATCTGTAAAGTTATCAGATGGCCTCTTCGTCTCTTCAGTCCTTTTTGTTCCTGAATTAAATTGTAACCTTTTGTCAATCAGTAAACGCACTAAATATCTAAATTGTGTGTCCAAATTCAATTCAAACTTCTGCTAATTTCATGTGATGGGATCAGAGAAGGTGATTGGTAGTGATGAAGTGCATGATGGACTCTATATTCTCAAGGACTCTCCTAAAAGAAAACTTTTCACAAAACAAGTTGTGTTTCCATTCCAACTTCAATTCCTTTTCAAGGTCGTTAATAAAAATCTTATCCTGTTATGGCATTTTCGTCTTGGACATCCAAATTTTAGTCATCTCAAAAGATTGTTTCCTCACTTGTTCATTAATAAAATGCCAAATTTGTTTCTTGTGAAGCATGCCAACTTGCCAAACATTTTTTAATTTTTTTTCCTTGCCATGACTTAACAAACCTTCACAAACCTTTCACCCTGATACACAATGACATCTAGGACCTTCAAGGGTAAAAAGTATCAATGGGTCAAGATGGTTCATATCCTTTATTAATGTCATACATGGACAACATGTGATTTTCTTATGAAAGAGAAATCCGAAACAACCTTTGTCTTCAAAATTTTCCATTCCATGATTCAAAATCATTTCAATAAAAAGATTTAAATTTTGAAAACTGATAATGGAAACACATATTTTAACTCCGTTCTTGGTCCATATCTATTAGAACAGGGAATTGTCCATATCAGCTCTTGTGTTGACACCCCACAACAAAATGGAGTGGCCTAAAGGAAAAATAGACATCTTCTTGAGATTTCCTGATCCATCATGTTTTCAAATCATGTTCCTAAACAGTTCTGGGGAAGCATTACTCAAACCACTTACCTTATAAATCGCATGTGAGGTCGAGTGTTACAATTCAAAACATCAAGAAATCTAATGCTTGCAGCATTTTCTCACGCCTCGTTTTTTTTTCTAGAGCTTCCTCTTAAAGTCTTTGGTTGTACAACCTTTGCCCATGTCTATGATCGCAAAAGAACAAAGCTTGATCCAAAGTCCCAAAAATGTCTCTTCATTGGATATTTCAACATTCATAAGGGTATAAGTGTTACTCTCCAGAAACAAAGGTATGGATGCCACCTTTGTTGAAAATCATTCCTTCCCCATATCTGATGTGCAGGGGGAACAATCAAGGGAATATCAGTTGTGGGAAACTCTTCAGGATCACCACTCCATAAATACCCATCTAAATCCATCTCCAGAAAACACTGCCCTGTCATCACCTACTCAACCAGATGCTGCTCCAGAAAACACTACCCATCATCACCTACCAACCAGATACTCCAATGGATCCAAACTTGAAAGCAAATCAAAGTGGTGAATCGACGCCCTAGCGCTTGACTAATAGAATAGGGGGCTGAGAAAACTAACTGACTATATAGGCATACGAACTAGCAGAATTTTATGGCCTTAACCCAAAGGGATTCTTCTGTCAAGAAAATAATTCATTATAAGGTAAAGTTAGCAGGCTCATAACCTTCACCGGTCCGTTCGAGCAATTACCAACACTGTTGCTATCAAGGTTACACGCCTGGTCCCGAAACCGCATCTGACTCCAGTAGAAAGGGGGAAGATCAAAGATTAGTAGGCAAACTAATCCATCTTTCCCATACCAGGCCTGATATTTCCTTTCATGTCAGCATTGTAAGTCAACATATGCACAAATTTTTTGAGGAGCATTTGGAAGCTGTGTATCGCATTCTATGCTATTCAAAAAATTACACCAACCATCAGGTCTTGGCTTGGACTTTAGAAAACACAGCAGCTGAGACTTAGAGGTTTACACGGATGCTAGTTCCGACGGAGAGCTAACAGAAAGGAGATCGACCAGCGGTTCTCCAATGTGTTGGGAAATTTGGTAACTCAGTAGCAAAAAACAATTTGCGGTCTCAAGGAGCAACGCTGGGTCAGAATATCGAGCACTGCCTTGGTCATATCTGAAGGTTCGTGGATAAGAAGGCTACTGAATGAGTTAAGGGCATATGTGAAGCTGCTATAAAGATCACCAAAAATCTAGTCCATCATGATAGGACCAAACATGTTGAAATAGACCGACATTTCATTTATGGAAAGGTGAACTTAAGTCATTCAACTCAACTTCATCCCTACAAAAAGGTAGATTGCTGACATCCTAACAAAGGCACTTCCTAGAACAAGCTTTGAAGAGTTCAATTCCAAGTTGGGTTTGCGCAACATCTACAACTCAGCTTCAGGGGGAGTGTTGAACTCAATTTATCGCAACGTCTATAACTGAGCTTGAGGGGGAGTGTTGAAATCCCAATTTATTTGTACAATATTTCTTAGAGATTCTGGATCTTTTCCTTAGTGTTTCTTATTATTCTCTAGAATTCCTTTGATTGTGTTTCCTTATTTAGGGTTTTTTTTCTTGTATAAATACCTTTGTTGTATTCTTTTAAATATACGAAAAAAAATCCAACCCTCAATTTCTACATGTTGGAATGCTGTAAGACAACTTTGACCAAATTTCTTTTGACGTCTATAAATGAAAGTTAGTCATGTTATCAGTAACATAAATCCAATTTTAGAAGGAAAGCAATAATGCAGTTTAACTGTAGAGCAAGTGTTGGTTATAATTATTAAAAAATCAATATACAATTGAAAAGGGCTATGTGTAACATGTACTAAATTTGATCTGTATTTCCTTCATTTTTTTGAGGTAAATCAAGGAATTGGATTCTTACCATCTTAAATGTTATTGATTTGTTGATTGCCTAGATTTGCCATCCAGTGGGATTTGTATATATTTCGGTGTTGTATTGTCAATGTGTTGCCCACCTTGCATCTTGAGTTCCCATTGTTAGAATTTAGCCATGTGCCTACTCGATGGAAGTTCATTTGAAATGGGTGTACTTCTGGCTAAACTATACGTTCCCGTGAAGAGTTTAGATTTGAAGTACAACTCAAATGTCTTAGAATTAATTTGGAGTCTGATATGTGCTAGTTTCAAATAATCTTCTGGTTTGTTTTTGGTAAAAAACCAAACGATGAATACTGAGGATTAATGGTCCCATAACCTGACATTTTACATGAGATATTTAGGTATATAACCTTAATGAGATTTTAATTAAATTCATGACCTTCTGATGATGATATGAAGCCATTTTTTTAATAACTCAGGAGGTCATGTATTTACATTTAAATCTCATAAAAGGATACATACCTAAGTGACTCCATTTTACATGACAGTCATTTTGGGGTAGCAGAAGCTCGCGACAATTTGGACATGAACTCGTGACCCTTTTATTTAACATGCTATATTATTTTCAGAGAAGTGGTATGATTACATATAATGGCCATGCATTTCATGAGTTCTGCGTTCAAAGAACTTCAGCTTACATAAGTCAAACAGATAACCACATTGCGGAGCTAACGGTACGAGAAACTCTGGATTTTGGTGCTAGATGTGAAGGTGAAGGGTTTGCAGGTTTGCTCACTTGTTCGTTGAAAACTGTGTATGATCCTTCCTATCACAACATGGGCTAATATAGTTGGTATTACATGTCATAATTCATGATATCTTATTTCTAGGAAACTTGAGAGAACTTACTCGTTTGGAGAAGGAAAATCACATACGCCCCAGTCCTGAAGTTGATGCTTTTATGAAGGTTACTGGTTTGAGATTTGTAGTCTGCTATCACTAGTTTCCATGCTTCCCTATGGATCTCCCCAAATGCGTTGGCATCTTAAAGTTTTATTTTTATATGTTGTAATTACTAGGCATGCTCTGTTGCTGGGAGAAGGCACAGCATCTCGACAGATTACATATTGAAGGTGCTTGGCCTTGATGTATGTTCAGAGACGGTCATTGGAAATGATATGGTCAGGGGTATTTCAGGTGGTCAGAGAAAGAGAGTTACTACAGGTCCTTTTCTCCCACCTTGCTTTGCACATCTATTTGCTGTTTTTTTTCTGCATGGCTATGCTTAGGTCTTCACTACCTGCCTATGTATGTGGACACAACTAGGTTTCATTGTACATTTCAGGCCACAACTGTGCTTATACAGTTAGACTTTCAGATGTGCCAATAGGTCCTAATGCGTTAAATTTTACTTCTATGGGAACCGGCAAGGGATTTTCTACATTTAGTTCCTCCGTTTCAAGGGATCTAGCCAATGACAACAAGTACAAATGAAACTTTAGTTGTAGTGAGACCATCAAATGTTTCTCAATCTAGTTACCGAAGTCTAATTCAATTATATACCATGTTTCCATCTCATTTGTCCCAAAAACAAATGAGCATTTCTTTGTCATATCGTTCATTAAATCTGTTTGGTTATTAACATAATGTTCAAAACGCCTTCTATTAAGAATGAAAAATTTTCAGGTAATTGTGTTTCTCACACTCATTAGATGAGGATACATACATTTATACATAAAGGAGGGCTATATTAGGAAACTGCACTAAAGATCATTAGAAAGAAAAACCCTAAATATCTAACTATGTAGGATATCTAACACTCCTCAAGTTGGAGTAAAGATGTTAATCATTCCCAACTTGTTACAAATGAAATCTAGTTGTGCTTTCTGTAATGGTTTTGTGAGAATGTCTGCAATCTGGTGCTCAGTCCTGATTTGTACTGGCGGGGTCAATGGACGTCTGTTGGCATTTCAACACCGTGATCTCTGATTAGATGACAATCAACCTCAATGTGCTTAGTTCTCTCTTGAAGACTTGATTATAGGTTATATGAATGGTAGATTGACTATCACAATATTGTCTCGTCAAGTCGTCTGTAATCACTCCAGACACTTTTAGAATTCTTCTTACCCACATCATTTCACATGCACGTTTGCGATGGCTTTGTGTTGGTTTTAGGGTTCTAATTTTTAGGCTAATAAAGAGAAGGAGATTTCTACTACTTATTGCTTTCAAGGCGAGTGATCTCTATCCTTAAAGCAATTTCGCCCCCACTGTATGTGCTTTGGGATTTTGGCGAATCGCTTCTCAAGATACAATGAAGCAACGTATGTAGAATGACTATCAACACCGCACTAGTGGTGATAGTCCCGGTTGAACTATTGAGTTTCAAGGATTTGAAGAGACTAAGAAATTATGTTTCTATAGCAACATAACTCTTAGCAATCTGGTATATAGAACAAAGAAAAAGGTTAAACGATTTTTGGTGTCTATAGATGGGTATATATAGGCAAATGCGACAGCCTCTTGAACAGGCACTATTCGCGACATTTCGAACAGTCGCAACTGTTCGAACGGGTGCCATCTGCTACACTTGAACCGTCGTATCTGTTCATTACACCCTTTGATGCGAACCGGTATGGTTGCCATCTGCGACGAACCGTCGCATCTGTTCACGAAGAGGTACTGTTTAATGGTCAACTGTCGCACCCTTTCACTAACCATCGCATCTGTTCGTAGTAACTGTCACTAACGAATTATTTACAAGGGTTTGAAGCAAAAGGATTAAGGCGGCTACAAGCGGCTCGCGGTGATGCGTGTGTGCGAAGTGCAAAGTGCGCCATCAAAGCGCCACATTGCGCCCACGCACACGGTCGCGCGCGTAAGGGTGCTATGCACCCTTGTGGAGCCCCCATTATTAAATTAATATATAGAAAATGCTTCTTCTTATATACCCACTTGAATTTTACTCTTGCTCCTACGTGGGACAAGGAGAAACCCACCAAAATGATCCTTTCTCTTTTCCTAAGACCTAAACCAGAAGACTTTATTTTATTTTGAAAATATTCCGAACACTTTGTACTCCGACTCGCACTTGATCGGCAGGCAGTACGTGTTTTTTGTAATTTGGCTTACAAATATTAGAATATTTGAAAAAATTGGAACATAATGAACAGATGATAGGTTTCGGTTTGACACGTTGCTAGTGGATTCTATGCCCATAATTTGACAGAAGATCTAGTAGCAAGTTGAACCAGATTATGAGGTGTATTAGTATTGAGATCGAATATGAGGTCTTCATTCCCAATCAGGTAATATGTGGCTCCCGAATCAATGTGAGAAAATGTGGAACCCCGTAAGATTTCTCTCCAAAAGGAGCCCTTTTTGGAATCTTCAAAACAACAAAAAACAAAACAACAAAAAACTAATTATACCTGAAACGGAGAAATCATATGACATCTGTTGTTGAACTTATTCTCTCATGGTTTGGACTGGGGTGTATAAAAGGCTGATGTTGGTTCCTTCACAATGATGGGTTTCCTTTAACTTAGGTGTATTAAAGGCTGGAGTTGGTCCCCTTCATTTTGTGCGAAGTCATTGCTAAGGATGACTTCAAGGTGAGCAAAATTTCGACTCATGACTATCCTGCTGATATGAAGACAAAGGTTCATTCTACGACTAAGTTTGAGTTGTTTTCAAACTTGGTTGATGTTCGTAGTTAAAGTAGCCTGTAAAGGGCTTGGAGGAGGATGTTAGTTCTTAACAATGATCTCTTGAAAAGTCGATATGTTTGCTAGTTTGATGATGAACTTTATGGAGCTTTGTTCTTGGAATATTTCTAATATGGATTTGGAGCTAAGGTGGAGACTGTTGGATGTGTCTCCAAATTGTCTTATTTTGTAATTATGCAACTTAGGTTTAGCGATTTTTACCCGCCATGATAAGTTGCCAGACAAATAAGAGGATGCAACGATACATAATTTGCGATCCAATCAAAAGATGACATGCTATACGACCTACCTTGCGAGTTAACTTGCATGAAGCCATCTAAGGAATCGGGCGAGTTACGACATGCGACCTAAGGTCGCATATACAAGTCACATAACATGACATTTTATTACCTTTAGGGTTATCTTTTTCAACATTTCCCACTAAATACTCACCTCCCCCACCCAATTGAAGCTTTCTTCTTGTTTTTGCACTATAACTTTATTTATTTAGTGGATTTCTCTCAATGGTCTCCTCCACCCTTGGTTTACTTCTGTTTTTTATGTTTCAACGTAAATGTAGGTGTCGTCTTCTATATCAATTCCTTTATTATATTGCTTCAAGTTTATTGCTTTATGATTCACCATGATTGAAGATATGAGGTTCTGTTTTATCTTCCGGATTAAGAACCATTTGAGTGTTCAAGCTTATTATGATCATTAGGACGCTGAGTTTTTATTTCTAGTTTGACCTTGGTTGAACATTGATTGAGGATTTTAAATTAAATTAGCATTGAGCTAATATTTACAACACCTCATGTTAGGACATGTGGACTAAAGCGAAAGTGCCCTAGACGTCTAGTATTTGTGCTTCTGTCTTCTGTACCACCTCAATTTCGAACTCCAATGATTTGGATTTTGGAGCCACTATTGTAGTTTTTTTTAGTGCTCTCCTTTGTTGGCCATGTGAGCTTCCTTCATTTACGTGGATTTGCTATCCATTACTAGGGCATGGATGTTGAATTCTCAAAATGGATACTTATCAGGTAATGGATGCTATAGTTTCTTACTTAAATCAATGCTTTTGCAGTCATAAGAATGGTTTGTATGGTTTCTTTTGCAAAACAATAGTTGATAATAGCATATTGTAGGTGAGATGGTTGTTGGTCCAAGGAAAACTCTTTTTATGGATGAGATTTCAACCGGACTTGATAGCTCAACAACATATCAAATTGTGAAGTGCATAAAGAATTTTGTCCATCAAATGGAAGCCACAGTTTTGATGGCTCTTCTTCAGCCTGCACCTGAAACATTCAATCTCTTTGATGATCTGGTGGTATTATCAGAAGGCCACATGGTATATGAAGGTCCTCGAGAAAGGGTGCTCGAGTTTTTTGAGTCATTAGGTTTCCAAAAGCCCCTACGTAAAGGCACTGCTGATTTTCTTCAGGAGGTATCTTTTTTATTCGTATAATATTGTTGAATATTACTTTTTTACCAGTCAATATGGCTAATTATGTGTGACTCTTATAGGTCACCTCGAGAAAGGATCAAGCTCAGTACTGGGCTGAATCTTCAAAACCATATGAATTCATTCCAGTTTCAAAGATTTCTGAAGCTTACAAAAGTTCCATCTATGGAAGGTCTCTGGAATCCTCCCTCCGTGTTCCATTTGACAAATCTAAGAGTCATGTGTCAGCTCTGAGAAAAAAGGAGTATGGCGTATCAAAATGGAAGCTTTTTGAAGCTTGTTTTTCAAGAGAATATCTTTTGATAAAAAGGCATAGTTTTCTTTACATTTTCAAGACAATCCAGGTATATCCTATCTCTTGCCTTTTCATCTTTCAATTGTTTGCTTCTGTTACAAAATGCATGTCATAATATTCTTGTTCATTGAAAATGTTTATGAACATTGACAGTTGTATTGTATGATGTTGTTTATTGCAAACTCAATTGCCTGTTATCTGACTCCAATAATTAAAACCCTAGGAAGAATGATGAATCGCGGAGAATAAGCATCCCCTAGGCGATAATAGCTCTTATAGGAACTTTGTCCACAAGATTTATTTGTGTTAATAGTCCAGAGCGCTACTTGTATGGGTCCGACGGACCTAAGGAGATTTGAGGGTGCTTTTGGTTCTGATATGTTTGTTCCTGAGATTATGAGGCAATGGTGCAAGTGTTTCTAGATGTTTCTTCTGACCGTTTACCATTCAGGTATATCAGAGGAGAAAATGATGATTGGCACAGTTTCTGATGCTCTAAGCATGCAGTAGGATCTGAGTAGAACCAAAATTCTGCTCTAGAAATATTTTCTTTGGGTTTGCACCCTAACATAGTATCTTTTTACCCTGATATTTCTATTCCCCAAAGAAAACAGAAACATACATGTTTTAGAAGACTTGTCGACTGACTTGGTTATTTTATCTCCAACCATGTTTTTTGTTCTCATCTTTCCTCTAGGGGTTATGCTGTTATTTTAGTTGTGGATAACCATCATGTTCCTTGGACTATTTCGAATCCTTAGCACATCTTGGACAGAGGCAAGCTACTAATGAGATGTCTGCTCATGTGGACAATGGGACACATCTCAAAGAACAATATTTTCTATGAGCTTCATTGGTTGCCACTTTGTTTGCAAGAAGAGTAGCAAATACTTCTAGTGGACCCAGTGTTCACACATGGCGCGATATGGCGTAAGATGCATCTCCGCCGTTACAACAAGACCTATAGCGTTTCTATAAGGCGTGGCTCACGTCATAGCGTCTTGAGGGGCGCCACGCTTGCACTTTTTACAAGACACGATCTTTTTTTTTTTAAAACTACATTTTTTAGCTTTAGATCATACATTTTTATAGATTTATCTAATCACATCGCTCACTGTTTCATGAATTCATACACGTCATGGACTAACGGTTAAATCAAAGACTATTTTTATAATAGTAATAACCTATATTAATTTTCTTTTTCTAATATCAATTTAAAATTTTTAATATCATTTTCTGATTAAATAATATATAGAAAACATCTATGTATATATATATAATTCTATGGTGTGCAAGGCTTGAGGCTTGACCTCACTGCCACGTCACACCTCACGCCATTTTGAACCTTGGGTGGACCTTCATTTGTTGAGCCAATTTGGGTTTGTTCAGGAGATCAGGTTACCATTATTCTGACAAACCTCTTATCAGGTACTCAGGTTAGTCCTATATGTGACAGGTTGGGCATATTCAATGTTTATGCTCCAACTTGAGGAGTTTTAGAATTATTTATTTTAGCACTTATTCTTTTCTTTATGTCTGTCTATCTAAGCTTATTGCCTTGTAATCATAATGTACTCTATATAAAGGAATATTCCCAATCAATAAAAGATAACTCTTTACAGATGCATGTCTGCTATATTAGGATTTACCTTATTGATGAGTGCTAATTGTTACTCTGAAAGCGGATTAGAGGGAGCAAATTCCTTTCATATATGGTTTTAGGTACTTAGAAAACCAATATAGAGGTGACAGTTCCATCATCATCACTTCTATTTCATTATTCAGGCCCTAACAGCCCGTCCACAAATCAGTAATATACCTATTGTATCTTTGCATGTTGGTTTTCTGCAGTATCTTTGCTACGGTTACAGAAAAGTGGGCAATGTAGCTCATCTTCTTATATTTAGTGATCTATCTTATATACTGGCTTATCATTATCATTCTTCCTCTGAATGCACAAAACTTGCACTTGTAACTGATCATCTGATTTTGAAATGTAATGTTATCTAACAATAGCTTATCATATAATGTGTAGGTTGCATTTGTTGGATTTGTTACATGCACACTCTTCATAAGGACAAGATTACATCCAACAGATGTGATGGATGGGACCCTGTATCTTGGTTGCTTATTTTTTGCACTTGTGCACATGATGTTCAATGGATTTTCTGAGCTCCCACTTATGATATTCCGGTTACCTGTATTTTACAAGCAGAGGGATAATCATTTTTATCCTGCATGGGCGTGGTCTATTTCTAGTTGGATACTGCGTGTTCCATACTCCGCTGTTGAAGCTGTTGTATGGTCTGTTATAGTGTATTATAGCGTTGGATTTTCCCCTAGTGCAGGCAGGTCTGTTTTTTTGGCTTTTTAACTCTTGCAAGTAGTACTCCTTCATTAGAACCTTGACATGCTTTAATGACTTGCAATTCTTCTCAGGTTTTTCCGTCACGTGTTTGTTCTGTTTTCAATACACCAGATGGCTTTAGGTCTCTTCCGAACATTGGCTGCAGTTGCGAGAAATATGATAATTTCCAATACTTTCGGATCAGCTGCGCTGCTTGTGGTATTCTTGTTGGGCGGATTTATCATGCCGAAAGGTAAATTGCCAAGTGTTTATTGGTTCAGTTTTCTTTTACAGACACCTAATGTTTAGAATTTTGCTTATCTTCATTCAGAAATGATTAAGCCATGGTGGGTATGGGGTTTTTGGCTTTCACCTCTATCATATGCACAAAGTGCAATTGCTGTTAATGAATTTACTGCCACAAGATGGAAGAAGGTCTGTTTCATCTATGATAAAAATGACTAGCTGCACTTAACTTGTCTGCATCTTCTCTATCAAGTACAATGGTCTAATAAAAACCCCAACACTACCACTTTGCAGAAGCTTACTGGTACAAACACTACAGTCGGCTATAGTGTTCTCCACTACCATAGTTTGCCCACCGATGATAATTGGTATTGGCTGGGAGTTGGTGTCTTGTTACTGTATGCTTTGGTTTTCAATATCATAGTGACTCTGACTTTGGCTTATCTTAATCGTAAGTGCTCAGTTCTTCATGTGTGGTTGTCTTATTACTACATCTGCTGATAGTGCAAATGTATGATACTTTGTTTATGATTTTTTGAAGTCCGGTGACTGCTTTATTTTGTACTACAGCTCTCAAAAATGCACAGATGGTTCTACCTGATGCCACTGAAAACGATTCAACCAGAGCTGGAGGTAAATAGCTCTTGTAGTTGTATGTTTTAATAATAAAGTTGTGTATTCCCTCCTTCCAGAAAAAATGCAACATTTTCTTTTTGGGTTGTCAAAAAAATTGCAACTTTTTTCAAGGAAGTTTTTCATTTAAATTACTTTTTTGCTAGTTGGTAATCTTTACTTGAAATTTCTTAATTTTGATTTTGGTCTACTGGTTTTTTTTCTTGTTAAGGGGTATTTTCTATAAAAAAAATTATATTTGATCGATAGTCAAATATTGTATCTGACCATGTAATATTGCATTTTTCTATGGAGGGAGAACATATTACAAGTACCTCCAATTTGCATCTTAACTTGTTGTGCAGCTGGCAATCAGCCATCTCCTGCCAAAGCTGATACTGGTTCTAGAAGACAGGGCATGACTCTCCCGTTCAAACCGCTATCAATGACTTTTCATAACATTAATTACCTTGTTGACATGCCAAAGGTACACTTAGTTCCTGGAACAATGAGTCCACCAGCACACTTAACTTATGCCAAAAGTAGAATTACTTCACTTTGTCCAGGACATGGCTTTGGAAGGTATAACAGAAAGGAAGTTGCAACTCTTGTCAGACGTAAGTGGAGTGTTTTTGCCAGGTGTCCTTACTGCGCTAATGGGGTCAAGCGGGGCAGGTAAGACGACCTTGATGGATGTTCTTGCTGGTCGGAAGACTGGTGGATACATTGAAGGGGAAATCAATATATCAGGGTTCCAAAAAGAACAAGGTACTTTTGCTAGGGTCTCTGGTTATGTGGAGCAAAATGATATACACTCTCCTCAAGTGACAGTTATCGAGTCTCTATTGTTCTCTGCTTTTCTACGCCTTCCTGCAGATGTCAATGCTAAACAAAGACGAGTTAGTTTCCACTAGCGTTGTTTCACCGATGATATACTTCACCGATGATATACTCCTTCCGTCCCAAAATAAATGTCCACAATGAAAAAGGCACACAGTTTTAAAAATGAGCAATTATTACACAATTTTTTACCCTTATTAATAGAGGGAGTAATGAATTTCTTCATCTCATAATTAAGGGTAGAATTGGAAACTATGCACTTTGAAAATGGACATTCAGACGGAGAGAGTAGCATGTAGATTGCTTAGCTCAGTTAGCTGATATTTACAGTGCACGTTGATGCATTATTAAGCAGGACTTTGTCGAAGGAGTGATGAAATTAGTTGAACTTGATAATCTAAGAGATGCTCTAGTAGGCTTGCCTGGCAGTACTGGCTTGTCCACTGAGCAAAGGAAACGATTAACAATTGCAGTTGAGCTTGTTGCAAATCCCTCCATAATATTTATGGATGAACCTACTTCTGGACTTGATGCAAGGGCTGCTGCCATTGTAATGCGGACTATCCGTAATACAGTTGATACTGGAAGGACAGTGGTTTGCACAATCCATCAACCAAGTAATGAGATATTTGAAGCATTTGACGAGGTTTGGTAATTAAGCTTTATTAGGCATGTAGAAACTTGCTTCTAATACATTATGTGTTTGGTCATGACTGTTTTTTCATCATTGGTGTTTCATCCATAGCTACTTCTAATGAAAAGAGGAGGACATGTAATTTATGGTGGAAAAGTGGGTGAAAGGTCAGAGATTTTGATCAAGTACTTTGAGGTAACAACTGTCTCTCGAGGTATTCATTCTCAACTGTTCTCTATGATTCATCTTCTAAAGGAAGGAAAACATTCTTGGTATAAAGATTGAAATCCTAAGTAGTAGGTACATTTTACACTTATTTGTATTTGTCGGTTGTGTTGTGTCTTAAGGTTTTTAGTAGAAACTAATAATTGGTGTTAGATTCTTTGTAATAAAAAACTTATTGCTGGCTTTCAGGAGAAGAAAAAGAAGAATATTTATGAACATGTTAAGGTGCACTTGGTTCGTATTAGGGAATGGGAATGGTCATTGCATTAATGATGTTTAGTTGATACTGGGGAATGTGAGTGGTCATTGCATGGGATGGTGACTGGTGATGCCATGGACCGGCAATGGCAGGAGGTGATTCAACGAGTAGAGGGTAGGGCAATTTCAAAAGTGGAAGGATTTTTGATTTGATAAAGTGTTGTGAGATGTGGTATCTCATGTTACCCCAATTTTTATCAGCAATGGTCCATTACCCATCATCGGGTAATGGGTGATTATATTATACCTAACCAAGCAACCCCAATCATTCCTATTCCCATTCTCTACCCCCTGGTAACCCCAACCAAGCACCCCCTTATATCTAAGGTAGTGTTTTGTGCATCTTATTGCGACGGAATCTGAAGGAATTTGAATGGTCAATCTCATTGACCAAATTCCATTCTTGCGGTTGGTCAATTCTTTAGGGTTTAAAACGGTATTCAAAATCCTCAAATGGCCGAATTCAGATTCTTTGGGGTTTATTAAAGAACTGAAATTGCTTTCGTTGCTCTTTTTTGTGATAGACTGTTTTACTTTAGCATGCAACCATCGGAAACGCTTTGCATCACTAGAAGTTGAGCACCATGCAAACAGATGTTGCTTTTTAGATAATTTATCTGAGTCATCTTGTCTTTTGTTGTTCTAAGAGAAATAGACCATCATACTTCAAAAGTGCTGATTAGATACTGTGACGAAGTTTGAACATGATTTCTATAATCTTACAGACTGATGAAGCTGTCATCTGAATACATATTTTTCTTTTTTTTCAGAGTATAAATGGAATTTCACCAATGCCGAGTGAATATAATCCTGCAAATTGGATGCTTGAAATGACTACACCTGCTGTTGAAGAAAGAATTGGCCAGGACTTTGCAGTGATCTATAAAAACTCTAAGCAGTATAGGTAATCTCTATTGGTGTTGTGAGTACTCTAAACTAAAGCTTGGTATTTCAATGTTTCTTGCATACAAAATATCAAATGGTTCTATCTCTCCAGAGATATTGAAGCTCTGATTCGGCAAACAAGTACTCCACAGCCTGGCTCTGAACCTCTATACTTCTCTTCCACATATTCCCGAAGTGGTCTCTTGCAATTCCAAACTTGCTTCTGGAAGCAGAATCTCGTGTATTGGAGAAGTCCAGAATACAACGCTGTGAGATTGTTCTTTACAACTATGTGTGCATTGATCGTTGGTTCTGTATTTTGGGACGTTGGTTCAAAAAGGTATTTTCTTGTTTCCTCAAAATTCTTGATTTAATAGGTTTACTTCATCATATGTAAGTTCGGATATCTAACCAAACAAACGAGCCCAGTGTGTACTTGAAGGTGGGGTTTTGGGGTAAGATTTAAGTTCAGATATCTAGGAATGCAAAATATATGGTGCTTATGAAAAAAAAAATTCGCTAACAAACTCACATGTTTTACGACCCATATCATTAGTTGATCGGTTTCTAACCTCATAATTTTTTATTTATCGGTTTATTCGGCAGAAACAACAGTCAGAACTTGATGGTGGTTATGGGTGCTCTTTATACCGCTGTCATGTTTCTTGGTGTAAATAACTCTTCCTCTGTACAACCCGTGATCGCGATTGAAAGAACAGTTTTTTACCGAGAGAGAGCAGCTGGAATGTATTCTGCAATCCCTTATGCTATAGCACAGGTAAGTTCTGAGACTTTTATCTTTCTTTTTTGTGTCTATTCTTTCTAGAAGGGAGACAAGACTAGTAGGAGTGATGTTTTAGTTCTGAAATAGATGCTATGTGGAGTTTAATTTCTACAGGGTCTTGTGGAGATCCCGTACATAGCGATTCAGACAATCGTGTATGGTATCACTACCTTCTTCATGATCAATTTTCAAAGGACAATTGGTATGATACTTGTATTCCTTCTAGTTTCGTTATAAGATCGATATGGTAACAGCCCACAGCCCGAAGTAGCAGGCTCAGTAACCTCCAAATCAACTTAAAACTATGGTGAAAGTTATTGGTAGCAACTTATAAGGAGCTCACAAATCTAACTTTTTTAATCATATGGGACGGACATGTATTACTATTACTAGCCTAGCTGACAAGGCATGGCATCAATGGAGCATAACTAGCTTCTATGTTTAATTTTGACGGAGTTGCATTTACTGTTGTGTTGCAGGAAAACTTCTACTCTACCTTGTGTTCATGTTTTTAACTTTCACTTACTTTACCTTCTACGGGATGTTGGCTATTGGTCTTACTCCATCTCAACAAATCGCTGCTGTTGTTTCTTCTGCCTTTTACTCGTTATGGAACCTTCTTGCGGGTTTTCTTGTGCCAAAGCCGGTAAATAACCTTTCTCATGATCAGCATGCCAATGCTTTATTCCCATTTTCTTCATTTACTTTTTCTTTGTTGGGGGGGAAAGGAAAAGGCGATGTTACTGACAGCCCTTGAGAAACTGGTAAGGTTGCTAGAATGTCATGGGGTCAAGCCACAGAAATATCCTACAAAGAACTTCATATTACTGTCCAAAAGAGCCGAGAGCCCTTTGAGGAGAGACTAAGGTTCTAACATATATTGAAGAAAAAGTGTCCAAGTCTAGCCAATTTGCAACTCTAATGTGCCCCTTCAACAGAGGCTAGAGGGGCAAAGATGTCCTTGAGTGTCGAATCCCGGGAATAGATGTCTCAAATGGTAGACCTTGGCTCTGATACATTATAAAAATATATGGAACCTATCAGATTACTCTTCATTGTAGCGGGTAATTGTTAATCAAAAGATATATCTGATTTGCCAAGTTAGAATTACTTAAGTAATCACGGAACCCGTAGCTAAAGAGGAATAGCATTCACCAAGTATAGAGGGTTAGGGAGTCTTGAACTTAAGGACTGGCAGTGAAAACTCCAGTTTCTTATCCCATGAGGAGAGAAGACAAGTTCCAACGTATATTGAAGAAAGGTCTCCAAGTCTAACCGATTGCGACTCTAACAGGACGATGGTAACCACAAGGGTGGTGTCCGATTGGTTTAAGCTTAGGCTCCAAAGGTCAAAAGTGTCTGGAGGTCCCAGGTTCGAATCCAAGGAGGAATAAAAAATCCCTTGTGGCCGTGGAGGTTCAAATGCGGTGACTTTTGCGGGTGGTCGTTGTGGGATTAGTCGGCTCGCATAACGGGTTGGATAGCCAGGTTAATAAAAAAAAAAAGAACAGGAGGATGATTTGTTTTGTGTTAACTTTGTTGTTATTACATTTTCGGTGTTATTAGTAGTCTTCCTATAACCGTTTGCTGGTGCAAGTTTGATGATCTTGATTTGTATTTGTATGCAGAAAATACCCGGATGGTGGATCTGGTTCTACTACATATGTCCAATTTCGTGGACTTTACAAGGTCTCATCGGCTCCCAACTTGCTGACCTTGAAGAACCAATTGTAGGACCTGGCTTCCAAGGCACTGTAAAAGGCTATTTGAAGGAAGCACTCGGTATCGAATCCAACATGATTGGTATTTCCGCTCTCGTGCTCTTTGCCTTCAGCGTCTTCTTCTTTCTCGTCTTTGCTCTCTCCCTCAAATTTCTAAATTTTCAAAAAAGATGAATCATATCGAACTCCACACTTCCGTTCCCTGTAAAGAGCACCAAGAGTTGCACACGGTCAAGTCGAGTCCTAGCATCCACTTAGAACCAAAAGATCGAATCAATCCGGTATATAAGATCAATTATATTAAAAACAAAATATCGATATGTTGCAACTCTTGTAGTGTTTGCACATGTAAAACCAATTCAGTATTGATTCTCTAACAAACTTGATACACACTTTAGTTTAGGAATCATCTCATCTAGGCTTATGATTAAGATTTTGTAAGTAGCGCTTTTCTCATTTTTATAGGAGATTTTGTACCAGACGCAACACAACAATATCTCGTATTCATATTGTTTCTTGGTTAGCTTTCGTTAATTGGTTTTGCAATGAACAAAAAGCCATCCTTTGTTTGGTGATATTCATTGATGTTATATTAAACAAATGTGAAAATGCAATATTTATACCATGTTTCATATGGGTAATGCTTATAACTTTTTTTCTACATATAAAACAGTTTTTGAAAATTTCTGAAAACTAGTTTTCAATTCTATAGAGCACGGAGAATATAATTGTTATTTTCAGGTTGCATTATAAATCAAAGAATATGTGATAAAAGTGTGTGTTGTATTCAATAAATAAGATCCTTTGGTTGAATGACAAGATCAGAAAAAGCAGGGGAATTGGAATTTAATATTGAATGTATGTCATATGTCCATAAAAAGGGGTACAAGATTATTGAAAAAGAAGTCATAATATATGTATGTATATATATATATATATATATATATATATATATTCAAAGATCACAACTAGTTAACGAGTGGTACACCACATTCTATTCCAAATTAACTGGGGAAATTTACAGTTACACCCCCACAATTACGGATTAACTATTTTCAAACCCTGCATTTATAGGAAAATGCATAGAACACCTCAAAACCTTAAATTATGTTATACCACACTTAATATCATTTAGAAGACTTTTAACATTTCATGGAATTAGTTTTTCCTTCCTCATAACGTCGATCCAGTGCAATATTGAATCGAGGGCAGTGTATCTTGTTGTGAACCCGAGCCGATCTGCTTTCGCCCTCGTCCCTAGCATCTTCACTGGGCATCGAAACAAAGCATCCAAAAAATACCAGTTAGCCAGATCATCCATTTCTGTATCGACCAAACCCTCCTTCCTCACTATCTCTTTCCAAACACCTGCTTTATCGCTCATAAACCCTGAAAACGTGAAATCCTTTGACAACATTTCCCAAGGCACAACCGCCCCAAACTTTTCTCCGATCGCTCCCCATATATCCTTCCAAGTCGAACTATCTCCGTTTATAGAATTAAACGCTTGCCCATTTTTCGATTGAACCAAATTGTTTGTGGCTGCCCAAATCTGTTGGTCGGCCACAAGCCTGGCATCAGAGGCGTCAACGAACTGCTCTTCCCAACACTCTTTTCTTCCCCCGAAAACAAACGGAAGATTCAAATACTTACAAATCGACCCGTATACACACAAACTTCCCATGAAGTTATACATCGTCTTTCGAGAACTCCCCATGATCAAACCGGGCCGGTGAACCGACCATGGAACCACACCTCCCAACCGCTCCTTAAGCAAGTCTTCAAGAGCATAATAGAAGTTAGACCCAACTTGTGTTTCAACCCTTGGACAATTCTCATCATAATAGCAAACCTTTTTCACAAGATGATCAAAAGAAGCAGTACCCCCATGTAAAGATACATAGTGTTTGGTCCCAGTTTGAAGAGAAAAGTGGCTCAAACCCTTAGCCACTGGAAGGATCGAGTCCAATGCATTGGACATCATGGCTTTATTTTGGTCATAGCATTCAATGGTATCAAGTTGAAAGTGGCTAGCCCAGGTGACCCAAAACACATGGGTCACATCATGCAAACCAGAAAGCTTCATTTGGGTGTCAAAAGGGTCAAGAAGATTGCATGAAATGAAATGGTAATTAGGGTTGGTGTGAATTGGTTTCTTGATCATGGTCACCATTTCTGGTCTTCTGGCAACACCATAAACCTTCCATTTGGATCTTGAAGAAAGAAGCTTCTCAAGAAGCTGTTTTCCAACAAGACCAGTGACTCCAAAGATGATGGCAACAGCTCTTCTTTTTTGAAGCTTTTCAACAGCCATTTTTTAGGTTGGGTGTTGTTTCTTCTGGTTTTGGTGTCCATGAATGAGGCATAATTAGGGTTTATATAGTTGTTGATGGAGGCTGTTTCGTAGGGATTTCCTAACTGCATTTAAATAAACGATTATTCAACAAATAACAAGTGGTTTTTGACCTCAATAATTTATGTGATCAGTCGAATCTTTTAATTTATTAGGTTGTGAATCAGCCGAGCTTCTATATATGATCCTTACCGCTACCGCTACCGCTACCGCTTCTGGTTCAGGTCGTTTCATTTGGCTTTAAATATACGTAAATGGATTTAATTAATACTCTCGTTTTTCTTTCTTATCATTATCATTACTTAAATTTCAATTGTAATCTAAAAAATAGAAAATTAATTAATGTAATTTCTCCTTGAAAAGAAAATATGAATTTTATGTCATTACAAAAGATTGAATATCTACTCTTAATACGAAAACTCGATCGTGTTTTGATCTTCGATTTTCTATCTCTTGTTCAGTAAATTGTTGTCTTTCAAAAAACGAAAACTCCATAAAAGTAAAGTAAACTAAGATTGATGTCAAATTAGTTTTTTTTTTTTTTTTTTTAATTTTTTTATGATAATTTAAATATTTTACATTTAAAAACAAATATGTAATGTATCTTACACCTTCACAGCCTATTCATCATGAATAATGTATCATTTATGATGAATGTGTATTATTCATCATGAATAATGACTCAATTTAACATGGATTATGATCGTGTATCATTCTTCACGAATTTTGTGTTCTTCATCATGAATATATAGTTTATGAACTTTACCTTCGCTATTCATATTGAATGTGGATGTCCGGGGACATGTATTGCGCTCTCCTTTGTTCACGAGTTCACAACAAAATATCAACTTTCATTTAAACATATATATATATGTGTATATGTATATATATATTAGTTGTACGTGTTTTCCTAGAAAAATAATGTGCATATACAATTATCATGAAAGCATCAACAAAGAAATCAAATATATTTAAACTATTAACTTCAAAAGTTGTATTTCTTACACAAGGGTTAGGTTAAAATTATAAGTTAATAAAGATGTATTTTATGTCTATAATTAAAATCGTTTATAAAAATATGAAGAGAATGTTGTCTCTGGCATGTATACCCAATGACAAAGGGACCTCAGTGACAAAGGGACGGGATGACTTTATTTAAATACAATACATGTACTGGGTTAGATCTGGACCCAATTAGCTTCAGTTGCTGAGTGAGCCAAAAATTATCTCCTTACATTACTGTCCTTGAAGGCAAGTTTTATGTGGAGCGATTAAGGTTGCCGAATATGAAAATAAACATGTTATATTTCCAAGCATGGTTATATTAGTGGTGATAGTTTAATGTGTAACTCTAGCTTAGTTATCTGTAAAAAACAATAAATATACGTCTTGATATAAAATTAGTATATTTAATTACCGAAAATACCATCTTATATAAAGCAATATATGTTATTTATAATTATAATTATAATAATAATATTAACTGTGACATGTGTTATTCCACTTGATCATCATATTGATTTTACAGACGCATTAAATGAGAACATAGCTTATGTCGAGTACGTTGCCTCTTTATCAGTCAGTCACTACAACAAAATAAACTGTTAAGCTTAATGAATTAAGAACTGTACATTTAATTTATTACACCAAGATTAAACAATTTAACAAGTTCTCTCTTTATAAAACAATAAATTGTTAAGATAAAATTTGATAACTTAATAGGACTCAATAAGTAAACCAGTTCACTTAATGTTTTTATGAGACACTTTTGAACAGTGTCATTAAAGAGTTTACAAAAAGTATTTTACTTTTTACATCCTAATAATTAGAATAGTCTAACTTTATTATAATAATTAATTTCTCGTAAGTTTTATTAATTTGATATTAATTAGGACATACGGTGTTCTAACAAACCAATTATGTCTTATGTGTTGATTTATATGCGAAGGATCATGCGAGAAGCGTAAGAACGGATTTGGACCATTGATCATCTTTAATTTCAAACACACCCACGAATCATGTTTGATACGGAGATTGATCTGATACATCTCATATTGATGCATTTCATCTTAATGTGCATTCAAAAATGAAGATCTTTTTTCACGCTTATCATCTTACTCTTTTAACTCAATTACATAAATTTTATAGCTGAATTAATTAGAAGAGTGATTCTAATTGGGTAAAAATTCCACATGTTGGTTTGTTAATTTAAAATGTGTATTTTTTTATTTATAAAACTTTTAATATAATAAATAATATGAAATTTTATATCATCTTTTAAAGGAATAATTTATTTGATGAATTTCTAATACAAAAAAAAAATAGTTTATGTAAATAATAAGAAGAAATAAGAAATGGGATCAAATTAGATCTAAACACGTATGTGTTAGCTTAGGGGCTGTTTGGCAGTTGCTGAATGGTTTGGTGCAGAATGGCTAAGTGGTCAGAATGGTTAAGAGGGTCAGAATGGTTAAGTCCTGAATGAAATATTGTTGTTTGGTAAATGTTAACAAATTACCCTTTTAACCCTGTATGCTTTGGTCCTGTTTTTTTATTGAACTAACAGATACCAAAAAAGAAATTAGGGTTTCACTTCAACCCAAATCGAGATCAAATCCAAATCGAGATCAAATCCAAAAAGAAATTAGGGTTTCACTTCAACCCAAATCGAGATCAAATCCAGCCGATCTCCTCTCCCATCCGGTTTCTGTTTTCATTTCGATCTCCCTCCTTTCCAGTTCTTTCCCTCGATTTCGTCCCTGTGATTCGAACATGTGATTCGTCGCTGGTTGCTACCACTTGGTTCGCTCCTCATATCTGGTTTCGGAGAAGACGGCGCCTTTCTGGATAAGGATTTGATGGCGACCGGCGAAGCTATGGAGGTGACCGGCGATGGCAATGGCAACCGGCGATGGTGACCGGTAGTAGCTGTGGAGGTGACCGGCGAAGCTGGCGATGGTGGCCGGTAGTTCTGTTGCGTGAAGAGACGAGATGGGAAGAAGGGTGGGAAGGGTAAAATTGGAAAAAGAACGGTCTGAATGGTTGAGTGAGGTAGTAAATGCAAAATGGTTAAGAGGTTATTGTAACCATTAAGAGGGTTGTTTTTTTTTGCCAAACAGATCTAACCTCTTACCGATTAAGAGGTTGGCTCTTAATGTAACCATTAAGAGCCAAACAAACAGCCCCTTAGTAAGAGTGAGGAATGAAAGGCCAAGTTGCAATCAATTATTAGTGGTGAACACATATTATTACTTTTATAAAAACTAAAACATCTTTTTATTTTATAATAAAAACAAGACAATATTATATTTATGTTTTTTATTTTTGTACGATTTATAATAAATAATCATCTTTGATTTTTTTTTTTTTTTTACTTTTTAGTCATTTTCGATTTTCTTTTCAAAATAGCTAATAAACAACAAATCAATGTCATAAGACGTTTTTCTCTACGGTTTCTAACATTTTTAGATGCATCTAGATAAAAAAAAAATGGACCCACTGCAAGAATAAATTAAGATGTCATAGTTAGCGCCAACACAAAGACATGTGTCGCACAAAAACAAGTCAAAGTCACAACTTGAGCACTGTAAGGGAAAGTATTGAGGTGTGGTATCTTGATTGTTTTGTGGGAAAAAGAAGTTTAGAAATAGTAAAAAGTAAAAGTTTTTAAGCCATGTGACGTCTTTTGTAAAGTTTTTGTAACCACAATTTGAAATTAAAAATCATACATTACATTGGTTTAGGCTAATTTTATGTTTCATATGTATGGTAAATGTTTGATATGCTATCTCCTGTTTCATCTGTAAATTTGTAACATTGGTCTTCTCTTATATGTTCTCATTTTACATTGACCATTCTTGATTACAAAGTTGATTTTATTGGTCTAATATATCTGTACGATTTCATATTTAATTTAAGTTTTATTTGGTTATCACCACATGAACATAATGAAAAAGGATGTTTCAACATGCATTTTCGTGCTATCCATTAATTAAATACAGTAACGAAGTGCATCAAAGCTACTTGAAGTTTGACACCGTTAACTTCAAAACCTAATGGGATCAGTCGAAGTTCGCAATTGGCCCAAGCTCTCACGGTTAATATAAATCTTTTATTTCATTCTTTTGCCAAAAACAATTAAAGTTGACGATACTTATATAATATTATGGTCACTCAGTTTTATCACAACAACTATTTGTCAAATACTACAAAACCGTTGTAACTTATAAGTCAATGGTTTAGAATGTCATATATGACTAGATTTTATGTATGAGTTAATACTATGTAAGTCGCAATATTACAATTATGCCTTGGTTCAACCTTTGGACTATACAAAAAGGCTGATATCTCGTCCTTGTACACACAATCAAACTATCAATATATAAACTCTTTTACCCAACTAATTTTGCCCACAACAAAAATTAGTTAATATTACATGCGTTAACAAATCCAGCAGTAGGCTATTTGAGCTGAGTTTGTTTTGAGAAAAAAATATCAAGATCCAGCTTGAATAATTTTTTAAACATAGTGATCGAGCTCAAAAAAAAATTGATGTTCATTAATGACCTAAAGTTCATGTTTTATGAGCTCGAAAATGGTTAACTCATTTATTGGCTTGAACTCAAAATTTAGTGCGAGCAATGACTTTTTTCAACTGCTTTATTTTAACAGTAATATTTATGAACACATGACATGTTTAAATCAAAAAATTATATATTGTATTAATCGTCTTGACTCACTCGAAATTAAGCTTTCAGACAAACAAAGTCGAATACTTGTGTTCCTCAGTGTTGTAAAAGTCTCGTCATGGCAGCTGTCGTGCCCTTTGTCTCCTATCTAACGTCATATTAAGCTTGTAGCACATCATGGATGTGTAGTTTTTTTTAACATGATATTTGATTTATTTTTATTTTTTTACCTTTAAGTGTCTCATTTTTTAGTTTGTAGCATATAATATAATT